TCAGATATCTTAAATCCGTCGCGGACCCGTAAGGACAGCAAAAAGCTTATTTCAACAACTTGACTAGTAGAGTATGCATATATGGCAAAAGCTGTATTCAATTTTGAACTCTTCCGTTTAAGCAATAGGGGAAAAATACATAAATGCAACAAAATATAAACAATGACTTAAATCCAACACTCAGTACTTCTCGAGACCGCCTTCACTGGATGACACACCTTAGATTTCATGACTTTTCGCCGTGTCATCCCATACGTTGGTCGCTGCTTGTTGTTGGTAAAAGTGGGAGACTAGAGGGTAGCGTTCGCATATGCCTCCACTACACACGAGGTCGTTTCCTACTTTTCACTTAAGCACCGCAATCAGCTGCTCGATGGCGGAGTCACACAGATGATGAGTGGATGTCCTTACGTTCTCCTCTACAGTAGGAATGCAATCAAGCTACCGCAACACAACGATTTAACCGTAAATTCTACCCACTCAATTAACACGAGCTTTGCTGCTATGCCGCATGAATTGAACACAAATGTAAACGCACGCGTAGCTTCAGCGTCGAGCCCATTTTCGCTTAATAGTCTTGATGAAAGCATTGCAAGAAGCAAGGTGAAAAAAATTAACCTCTGGGAAACAGGGCGAAGCATTAGTGCAAAACTCAAGGGATTTATTGGTGTTTTCTAAAACTGAGGCAGCGTTTTAGTGACAAGGTAAGGTGCATCAATTTTTTGCGTCCATCAACAACTGCCAAACAAATACATTGTTTCCTTCTAGTGCAGCAGGGTTGTTGCCATGATAACTTTTTTTGTCTGAAAACAAGTTGCATCTGTGAGGCACTAAACCAATTAAATCTTAGTAACAGGCAAACGATGGAGGACTAGTAAGAAAAGTGAAACTGAGGTGATATGTTATTCGATGAGATATTTTCTGCCCCAATTGCATTAGCCAGTTTTCCATTATCAATCATCGACGTCACGTGGCTGACAACGGGCAACCGCTGCAGTGTGCACTAATACGACAGGGCGAAGATAAGTGCTGTGAAATACTCCTCAGCCGTTACGGAAGCCTGAAGCTTGTCTTGAGCGTTTACAGGAGTTGGACGACGAAGCAATGACTCCATGTCTGACAGAGTTCCTTAAACCTCTTAAGTAGAAATATCTAGGACAATTCAAAACGAATAACTGGAGAGTACTGTCCATATTAATTCCCAAAGAAGATATCTTTCAAACGTTCTTAAGCCGAGTGATCGCCATGAAAGCCTGCCGTGAATCCTGAAGTGACTGACTGGTGAAGCAGT